ATGGATGGATAGATAGATAGATAGATAGATAGATAGATAGATAGATAGATAGATAGATAGATAGATAGGAATCTTCTGTATTAGGATATGAATCCTACTCCAATATTGATAGGTGGATGGATGGATGGATGGATGGATGGATGGATGGATGGATGGATGGATGGATGGATGGATGGGTGGGTGGGTGGGTGGGTGGATGGATGGATGGATGGATGGATGGATGGATATATAGATAGGAATCTTCTGTATTAGGATATGAATCCTACTCCAATATTGATAGATGGATGGATGAATGGATGGATGGATGGATGGATAGATAGATAGACAGACAGGACAGACAGACAGACAGACATTTTTCTTTAATAAACATAAAAAACTCAATATCTATATCTGTGATGGTGAACCTATGGCACGCAGAGCCCTCTCTGCTGGCACGCGCATCTTCACCCCAGGTCCGATCCCCGTGGCGTTTCTTTCGTGAGCTTCTGTTTCCCTGCAAACGACGGAACAGAAGCTCACAAAAGAAAAAGATCTTACCTCTTGCCGCGCTGCCAGTGTTGGGATGCCCCGCCGGCCAGCTGGTCTTCTGGTCTCTGCTGCGCATGTGCGCATGTCTGTTTATGCGATGTGCATGTTCACGCATGTTCATGTGTGCGCTTTTGCACGTACACCTTTCAGCTTGGGCATGTGCGTGTGAGCAATTTGGGCAATTAGTATCTAAAAGGTTTGCCATCACTAATCTATATGAGCCGCATGTTATCTGAGTACAATTAATTTTGAACAACAAAAAGTCAGTAAGCATAGTGGTAATCATAATATACATTTCATTGATAATAATCACATAATAATATTAGCAATCACTTATCCATACTAAAAAGCTTTCATTATATAATTAATCATTCTCTTAATCTTTTTAGTTTCTAACCGCTGTTTCTGTTAGCCATTGGTAAAACAAGTCCCATGTTCAAAATATTCTGTTTCTTCTTTCTTCTTTATTTTTAGTGTTAATCTGCCCATCTCTATGCATTCTAATTTTTTTTTTTTATCACACTCTCATCTGAAGGGATCTCTTCATTTTTCCACTGTTGGGCAAATACAATTCTTGCTGCAGTTAACACATGTAAAATTAGATATGTATTCCCTTTATTATACTGTTCTGGTAAAATACCCAACAAAAATATTTCTGGTTTAAAATCAATATGTTGCTTTATCATTTTTTCTAATCATGTGTGTGTTTTGGTCCAATATTTTTTTGCCTTTGGACATGTCCATCACATATGATAGTACTACGAACCCGGTATCTGATGACGACTCCAATATTTCTTAGCTTTAGTACAGTCCACGATAAATGATTTAAAAAGTCCCTCCTTTACATTTGCATTAGTTTGGAAGAATCGGTGGGAAGGCAGAAGAGGCATTCCATTTTAGCGAGGGCCTTCTGGGTGTATAAAAGTAATTTTTTTTGCATGGAGGGATGAGCAACCTGCTCAGCACTGCTTGCCAGATTCCATCTCATGCCTAGTTGCATCTCACAAGGATGCTATTCAAGCAGCACAACCACTCACTTGTGTTAGCTGAAGTGGTCCAGCAGGAGAGGATGTAGGGATGTTTTGCGGACCAGCTCTGCGGCTTGTCTAGCTGAAAATGTTTTATTTTTCAATTTATTCATCCCATGTTTTTGAACCGCCCATCTCCCCCGCAGTGGGACAATTAACTGTTTAAGCATAAAATATTTAAATTGAAAAACCGTGTATAAAAATTAAAATTAAATTAAGCGTTTTAATTTAATTTAAAATACAATTAAAAATTTAAAAACGGACGCGACATTTCACATACATACATACATCATCATGTCTGCCTGCACAGGCAGCCCTCGACTCACGACGCACAACTGAGCCCAGAATTTCTGTTGCTAAGTGAGACATTGGTTAAGGGAGTTTACGACCTTTCTTGCCACCGTTGTTAAGTGAACCACTGCAGTTCTTAAATTAGTCACACGGTTGTTAAGTGAGTCTGGCTTCCCTGTTGATTTTGCTCGTCAGGAAGGTCGGAAAATGGGATCTCGTGACCCCAGGACACTGCAACTGTCATAAGTCCATGCCAGTTGCCAAGCATCTGAATTTTGATCACATGACCCTGGGGATGGCATTCAGTGCCATTGCAATTTCAAATGGTCACTAAACGAACTGTTGTAAGTCAAGGACTACCTGGATGTACCCAGGTAGTATGGCTATAATATTATTATTTATCCTTCTAATTATCCTCCTTACTCCTCCTCTCTTAATTGGAATTATGCTGATGATAATTATCATTATAACCATGTTGCTTGTATCTTTACAATTTATATTGTTTTATTTGTTTCCTAGTATGATTTGATTGCTTATTAATAACCTATGACTATCACTAAGTGTTGTATCTTATGATTCTTGATGAATGTATTTTATTTTTCTTTTTATGCACACTGACAGCGTATGCACCAAAGACAATCACACTTGGCCAATAAAGAATTCCATTCTATTCCATTCCATTCCATTTCTTGTTCTATTCTATTCTATTCTTCATTTCTATTCTACTCTACTCTACTCTACTCTACGCTACGCTACGCTACTCCACTCCACTCCACTCCACTCCACTCCACTCCACTCCACTCCATATTTTCTCTATTCTATTCTATTCTATTCTATTCTATTCTATTCTATTCTATTCTATTCTATTCTATTCTATTCTATTCTATTCTAATTCTATTCCATTCCATTCCATTATTCCATTCCATTCCATTCCATTTCATTCCATTCTATTGTATTCCATTCTATTCCATTCTATTCTAATTCTATTCTTCTGTTGCTTTGCACGTACGCAGTTTCTGCACGGAGACCAGTTCCTTGTGTGTCTAATCGCACTTGGCCAAATAAAATATTCAATTAAAAAAAAAATGCAATCAGATTTCTAGAGCGTCCCGCTCAGAGGTCGCTTTCACAAATGCAGCGACCGAGTTCCCCCTGAGTTCTGCTTTTTTCCCCTTCCAGCTGCATCTCTTCCAGGATGCGGTCTCCGTTCTCTCTCTCTCTCTCTTTGTCATTGGAATGAAACGGAGGGGAACCAGGGCTCTGCAACCTCTAAATAACCTGTCAAAAATGCCCCCTTTTCTCCTCTCCTGTCCTCTCCTCCTCCACCAAGCAGCAAACCTTGTGCCCTCTTTCCACACGCTGGCCTTACCCCATCCGTAGGGATTGGCCCTTGTTATGTAAGGCTCTGAATCAGGGAGCTGGGCTTTTTGCCAGCCGCCTCCCGTCCCTCTCACTCGACTTCCCCGGCTCCCGGCCGAAAGCAAACACCGAGCTTTCTGCATCTTCATTTCTGCTTCCCAATTACAGGTTTGCAGCCTGTGCTGCGAATAATTCAAATTGATGAGTCGTGTACCCTGCTGGTGCTTGTAAAGGCCACTGGTGGGGAGGGGGGCTTCGGGGCCAGGGTCGTTTAGTGGGGCTGCCAAGACCGAGCAGGACAGCCGGAGCGAATTCCAAGAAAAAAGGAAAACGTACAGGGGGGAGACTCTTCCCCGGGGGCTCAGAGAAGAGACCGAGAGAAGAGAACCTCTGTAGCTCAGGGTCGAACGGAGGGGTCCATAGTGGTCCCTGAGCTCAGTGGCTTTCTTGCAGATGTTTCATGACCCAACTAGGTAACATCCTCAATGCTAGAAGGTAGCAGAGATTATGTTATCCAGTTGGTCATGAATCATCTGCAAGAAAACAACCAAAAAGCACGGAGGACCCCACAATCCTCCTCTTCCTCTTCTTCCTCCTCCTCCTCCTTTCTCTGTCAGGGCGCTGATTGATCCCATTCTGCTTTTGGGATAATCGCACCTTGATTAAGAGGAGTGGATCGAGGCTTTTCCTTGCAAGCATACTTTAAGAAAACAGAACCCGAAGATATTTCTTCTAAGAAAACTCATTTATTTGTTATAAAGAAAATAAAACATCTAACTGATCGAATCAGTTACATTTTGAATAAAAGTTCGTGCCGGCTGCTTCTCAGCCGTCGGACTTCTTGGCAAGAGAACAAAGAAAAGCGTGTGAAGGAATGTGGGTGGACATGCGCAGTTTAGCTTACTGATAAGGATTCTTGGCAAGCTACGGAAAGTCTGATAGTCCAGAAATGAGAGCTCAGCTGGTAAATAAAAAACGCAGTGGCATTCTCCTCCTCCTCCTCATCTTCCTCCTTCTCCTTCTCCTCCTCCTCCCCCGGATTGATGTTGCATTGGGAAGGGGCCACTTCCGAGAAAGCCCTTTTTTGGGGTCCCACCAGGCATACAGGTAGTCCTCTACCTACGACCGCAATTGAGCCCAAAATTTCCATTGCTAAGGCAATTGGCATTTGTCGGTGCATTTTGTCCTCCTTTTATCACCTTTTTTTGCCCCCATTGTTAAGCGAATCCCTGCAGTCGTTAAGCGAATCAAGCAGCCATTAAGCAAATCTGGCTTCCCGCATTGGCTTTGCTTGTCGGAGGCCATCCGGGAAGTGACCTGGGACCCTGCATACACTGTAAATACAGTTGCCAAGTGTCCGAATTTTATTTTTTTTTTAAATAAATTTTTATTATAGTTCAATAAAAAAACCACAAAAACAAATGTATAATAGTTTTTCTATCACGGTGTAACATCACCAAAATATCCATGTATATATACACCAATAATCAGAAAGTAAAAATAGAAACTATTTACACATTCTTATATACAAATTTACATTTCCAATATTTATTGATTACCATAATTATACCATCATCTATAATTATGTGTCCGAATTCTGATCACGTGACCGGGGAGGGTGGACATTGTAACCGGTAAAAGCAATAACCTAAATCCGTGGTGGCGAACCTATGGCACGGGTGCCGGAAGTGGCACGCAGAGCCATCTCTCCGGGCACGCCAGCCGTCACCCGTTGCTCTTCCAGGTTACGGCGTGCACATGCGTGCCGGCCAGCTGATCTTCGTGCGCAGGGGAGCGCCGTAAACTGGAAGAGCAGTTCCTCGGTGCGCATGTGCGCGTGCAGGGAAGCTAAGCTTCCGGTTTCCGGCGTGCGCATGTACGCCAGCCAGCTGGTCATTATCCATGCATGTGTGCGAGAAATTGGAAGACGAGGTGACCAGCATGCATGCACATGCCGGAATCTGGAAGCTCAGCTTCCTGGTGGGCACATGTGCGCCAGGGAACTGCTTCCGGTTTCTACTGCTCCCCTGCACGCGTGCGTGCACTCCCGTTTCGGCACTCGGTGCCGAAAAGGTTCGCCAGTGGGGGGAGCCTCTGCTTTGCAGGGCCTCTCTGCAGGGGTGAAATGTAAAATTTGTTAGTACCGGTTCTGTGAGCGTGGCTTGGTGGTGGTGGGGGTAATGTGACTGGGTGGGCATGGCCAACTTTTTTTTTTTTTTTTTAACTTTTAAAAGCATTTTTTTTTTGGCCGAAGAGGTTGTAGAAAAAATGCTTTTAAAAGGCTCTGACGATCCCAGCTGAGCCGTGCGATCATCAGAGGCTTTTTAAAAAACTTTTAAAAGCATTTTTTCAGCCGAAGGAAAAAATGCTTTTAAAAGTAAAAAAAAAACAGCATCTGATGATCACGCGGCTCAGCTGGGCATTGGGAGGGGCAGGGATTTTTGCTACCAGTTCTCCAAACCGCCCGCCTCCATCGCTACCGGATTGGGCGATCCGGTCTGAACCGGGAGCATTTCACCCCTGCCTCTCTGGCTTCTCACCCCAGCCAATGTGGAGGGACTCACACATCCCTCTCTGCCCTACTCTTGCCCCACTGAGCCTGGCCGTGCCCCAGTGACCGGCCTCTGCTTTCCCTCCCCCCCTGCAGACAAGCCGTTCCTGGTCTTCTTCTTCAAGCAGCTGAAGCTGAACCGCAGCGGCCGCTACGAGGACTCCTTCCCTTACCTGTCGCCCTGCGGCCGGGAGCACAACTACATCCGTTGCGATGACCGGCCCATCGTCTTCACGCACCTCTTGGAAGGACCCCCAGGCCAGCAGTCGCTGTCCTTCTGTGGGGGCGCAGAACGCCTGGCCGTGCCCTTCCAGCCAGAGAAGCTGGTCATGTTGGCCGAGAACGGGCGGGTCTATCACCCGGGGCCGGAAAAGGCTGGTGGAGTGGGATTGGTCAAGTCATCCTTGGCCTTTGAGCTGAGTCCTTGCTTTGAGTACCAGGATGGACCCGGTCAACCGCCCACTCATTTCCGTTGGCAGGAGAAGAGGTATCTTCTCACGAACGAGCTGCTGAGGTTGATCTGAGGCCATTGTAGAGCGAGGAATGCTTTCCAATGCCCAGAGGTCTTCTTGTTGGCATCCTTGGCTTGACAGAAACCCAAACAACGTCCCTCCTGTCATTCCAGGTGCCCCATTTATTCCGGGAGACCATCTCAAGAAGATCTTCTTGTTGGCCCTCTTGGACATCCTTGGCTTGATAGAAACCCAAACCACGTCCCACCTGTCATTCCAGGTGCCCCATTTATCCGGGAGACCATCTCAAGAAGGTCTTCTTGTTGGTTCTCTTTGGCATCCTTGGCTTGATAGAAACCCAAACCACGTCCCTCCTGCCATTCCAGGTGCCCCATTTATCCCAGGAGACCATCTCAAGAAGGTCTTCTTGTTGGCCCTCTTGGGCATCCTTGGCTTGACAGAAACCCAAACCACGTCCCTCCTGCCATTCCAGGTGCCTCGATTATCCCAGGAGACCATCTCAAGAAGGTCTTCTTGTTGGTTCTCTTTGGCATCCTTGGCTTGATAGAAACCCAAACCACGTCCCTCCTGCCATTCCAGGTGCCCCATTTATCCCAGGAGACCATCTCAAGAAGGTCTTCTTGTTGGCCCTCTTGGGCATCCTTGGCTTGACAGAAACCCAAACCACGTCCCTCCTGCCATTCCAGGTGCCTCGATTATCCCAGGAGACCATCTCAAGAAGGTCTTCTTGTTGGTTCTCTTTGGCATCCTTGGCTTGATAGAACCCCAAACCACGTCCCTCCTGCCATTCCAGGTGCCTCAATTATCCCAAGGAGACCATCTCAAGAAGGTGTCTGGAAGCATCCGTCCAGAACCCCAGTAGGGCAGGGATCCTGGACAGAATCTCTCAGAATAAAAATCATTTTATGCTTTGTGCGCAGGACTGGTCTGTGTTCAGGCCATTGCATGGCTTAAGTGCAGGGCCTTCTCACTTCCTCGAGCTCGCTCCATGGACAACCAAGTGTTCCTTTTCAGCAGTGTGACGGGTGGCCTATAAATGTAATGAATAAATATAAACAAACTAAAGCCCAATTTTGCTTAGCAGCCGGAAACTAAGCTGGATGATGAGCAGATTCCTCAGATGCAGGCTATGGGTACGTGAAAGATCTCCGGGGCAGTCTTTCTTTACCTTGGACTCTCTTGAACAAACTCACCGTAATTATCATAGAAACCTAAGGCTGGAAGGGACCTTGGAGGTCTTCTAGTCCAACCCCCTCCTCAGGCAGGAAAGCCTATAGCAACCAGGTCAAATAATTGCCTAATCTCTTCTTAAAAGCCTCCAGTGTTGGAGCATTCACAACTTCTGGAGGCAAGCCATTGCACTCGTTAATTGTCCTCACTGTCAGGAAATTCCTCCTTAGTTCCAGGTTGCTTCTCTCCTTGATTAGTTTCCATCCGTTGCTTTTTGTCCTGTCCTCAGGTGCTTTGGAGAATAGCTTGACTCCCTCTTCTCTGTGAGAGCCCCTCAAGTATCAGGTTTCCCCTAAGCCTTCTCCTCCTTAGGCTAAGCATACTTCGTTCCCTTAGCCCAGAGGTCTTCAAAGATGGCGGCTTTAAGACTTGTGGACCTCAACTCCCAGAATTGGGGCCAAACTATTTAATTCGATTTTATCTCTGCTTTTTAAATTTTGTATGTATGTATTTTATTGTTGGCTGTTCACCGCCCTGAGTCCTTCGGGAGTAGGGCGGTATATAAATCAAATAAAAGTAAAGTAAAGAATTCTGGGAGCTGCCAACTTTGAAGACCTCTGCCTTAGCCGTTCATTGTATGATTTCCCTTAATTAAAAATATTGTTCTGCTGGCTTTCAGTTCTGTTAGAAATGCAGTTTCCTGAATGTCCATCCAGCTTGGCCAAAGTCCTTTGACAAAGCCCTGGCAAAACCCCAGAGCCCAAATCAGCAAGCTGTAGTAGTGGTAGGAGGGAGGGAGGGAGGGAGCAGTTTAAGGAAGGTCCTTCTCATTTGCCTATCTGGAGCTAAGATTTTCCTGGCTGTTGAATAGCCCTGGAATAGTTTATAGCAGGGGGTCCAATTCTGACGACTTTAAGACCTGTGGACTTCAAGTCCCAGAATTCCCCAGCTAGGGAGGGAGGGAGGGAGGGATGAATTGGATGGATAGGAGAGGGAGGGAGAAATGAGGGAGGGATGAATGGATAGGGGAAAGAAGGGAGGGAGGGAGGGAGGGAGGGATAGGGGAGGAAGGAAAGAAATGAGGGATGGATTGGATGGATAGGAAAGGGAGAGAGGAAGGAAGGAAGGAAATAAGGGATGGATGGATAGGCGAGGAAGGACAGGAAGAGAGGACGGACGGAAGGAACTGGTTATTGCTTGCACACAAGCGAAGAATTGATGGGTTTTGCAATCCTGCATACTCATTGGCTGGATTCAGACCACCTAATAAGCCAGCTTCTTCAATTTAGAAGACACTTCAATCGTCGTCTTTCAAACTTGAGGTGTGGAGCACAACTTCCAGAATTCCTCAGCCAGCATGGTACACAGATTTGCTTGGGGTAAATCAGAGGTGGGTTTCAGCAGGTTCTGACCAGTTCTGGAGAACCGGTAGCGGAAATTTTGAGTAGTTCGGAGAACCGGTAGGTAGTAAAAATTCTGACTGGCCCCGCCTCCATCTCTTCTCTGCCTCCCAAGTCCCAGCTGATCGTGGGAAATGGGGATTTTGCAGTAAACTTCCCCTGGAGTAGGGTGGGAATGGAGATTTTACAGTATCCTTCCCCTGGAGTGGGGTTGGAAAGGAGATTTTGCAGTATCCTTCCCCTGGAGTGGGGTGGGAATGGAGATTTTACAGTATCCTTCCCCTGGAGTGGGTTTGGAAAGGAGATTTTGCAGTATCCTTCCCCTGCCATGCCCATCAAGCTATGCCATGTCCACCAAGCCACACCCACAGAACCGTTAGTAAAAATTTTTGAAATGCAACCATTTATTTAACCCAGCGGTTAATGTGGATTGAGGGAGGACGACAACAGATAGCAAATGCAGGGTTGGAGAGGCATTTAATGAAGAAGCTGCCTGGTATTCTGAGTCTGGCAACAACCCCCCCCCCCCAACATGCATGTCTGAATAAGGAACATCTATTTCTAGCCTTGACTCCAGACCTCCAGGAAAGAGCAAACGGTGCCAGGCAACCTTGCCCTCCCTCAGATGCTCCTTGGCATGCCTCCAAAACAAACCACAGTGAGATGTTTGGCTCAGAGTAAAAAGCCCTAAATAATGTATGCAAGGAGACGCACATTTATGCACAAGGCTTAGCATTGCTTGGACGGCCAGCCGTCCGCCCACCTTAGCGGAGGAAGCGATGGGAGCGGGAGTTTCTGAAGATGGCAGGTAGGGAGAAGGTAACCTTCCTTGCGGAGAGAACCCGGGGGTCTTCTGCTGACATTGAGAACAACCCTGACGAAGGGGAAGGAGAGGCAGAACCCGGAGGCGGAGTCAAAAGAGGAACCAGCCTAGAATCCCTATGTAGCCACAAGCGAACTGAGTCCAACCTCGCTTGAATTTCGTGGACGCTTATCTAACTCCGAGCAGATGCTCAGCGTTCGATGAGACGATTCCTGTGCATGGGCTTTCAGCAATAAAGTCAGTTTAATTGGACTTTCATATATGGATGTGATCTTTCACCCCTGATACCTGCCCAGCAGTTATGTCCACAGGATGGGGGAAATTGCCTGAAGTTTATTTATTTTATTTTATTTTATTTTATATTGGATTTCTATACCGCCCTTCTCCCTAAGGACTCAGGGCGGTGTACAGCCAGATTAAAAAAACATGCAGAACAAATATTAAAAACAATTAAAAGATATATAAATTTGGCCCAATTAAAACTCATTTACCAATTAAAAACGTTTAAAACATTTAAAAACAGTTAAAAATTTCATCTTAAGCCAGCCCGGCTTGTTTAAATAAATGGGTTTTAAGGGCGCGACGGAAGGCACTGAGGTCTTGGATTCTCCTTATCTCTGGGGGGAGCTGATTCCAGAGGGTAGGTGCCCCCACAGAGAAGGCTCTCCCCCTGGGGGTCACCAGCCTACATTGTCTGGCTGATGGCACCCCGAGGAGGCCCTCTCTGTGGGAGCGCACGGGTCGCTGGGAGGTCGTTGGTAGCAGCAGGCGGTCTCGAAGATAGCTAGGCCCTATGCCATGGAGCGCTTTAAAGGTGATAACCAACACCTTGAAGCGCACCCGGAAGACAACTGGGAGCCAGTGCAGCTCGCGCAGGAGCGGTGTTACATGGGAGCGCCATGCTGCTCCCGTCACTACCCGCGCTGCTGCGTTCTGGACCAGCTGGAGCCTCCGGGTGCTCCTCAAGGGGAGCCCCATGTAGAGAGCGTTGCAATAGTCAAGGCGAGAGGTGACGAGGGCGTGAGTGACTGTGCACAGGGAATCCCGATCAAGAAAGGGCCGCAACTGGCGAATCAGGCGAACCTGACAAAAGGTCCCCCTGGTTACAGCCGTCAGATGTTCCTCCAAGGACAGCTGCATATCCAGGAGGACTCCCAGATTGCGAGCCCTCTCTGTGGGGGCCAATGACTCGCCCCCAATAGTCAGTGATGGAGTCAACTGACTATATCGGGATGCCGGGAGCCACAGCCACTCAGTCTTGGAAGGGTTGAGCTTGAGCCTGTTCCTCCCCATCCAGACCCGTACAGCCTCCAGGCACTGGGACATCACTTCAAGGGCATCGTTGGGGTGGCCTGGGGTGGAGATGTACAGCTGGGTGTCATCAGCGTACTGGTGGTATCTCACCCCAAAGCCACGGATGATCTCACCCAGCGGCTTCACATAAATGTTGAACAGAAGGGGCGAGAGGACCGATCCCTGCGGCACTCCACAAATGAGAGGCCTCGAGGTCGACCTCTGCCCCCCTGCCAACACAAACTGCGACCGGTCGGAGAGAAAGGAGGAGAACCACCGCAACACGGTGCCTCCCACCCCCAACTCTTCCAGCCGGTGCAGCATGATACCATGGTCGATGGTATCAAAAGCCGCTGAGAGGTCTAACAGGACCAGAACAGAGGAACAACCCCTGTCCCGAGCCCTCCAGAGATCATCAACCAACGCGACCAATGCCGTTTCTGTGCTGTGCCCAGACCTGAAACCCGACTGGAACGGATCTAGATAAGTTCACCCACCTACCGTGGGATGCTCAAAGGCAGTCAAAACATCCTTGATCTGTTTTGGGGTGCATCCACGAGCTCCTTCATGCACTGCTCTCAGGGTGATTTTTTTAAAAAAAAATTTGATTTATATGCCGCCCTTCTCCGGAGACTCAGGGCGGCTTACAATGCGTTAAGCAATAGCCTTCATTCTTTTGTATATTTATACAAAGTCAGCTTATTGGCCCCACAATCTGGGTCCTCATTTTACCTACCTTAGAAAGGATGGAAGGCTGAGTCAACCTTGAGCCTTGGAGAGATTCGAACCAGCAGTAATTGCAGGCAGCTGGTCTTAATAACAGGGTGCTTTAGACCACTGTACTACCAAGGCTCTTTTCCATCTGGATCCTGAACTTCAGCTTTTGCTGGCTGGCAAGGGGTCTGCAAGGAGGGGCTCAAAAAAGGGCGTGTACAGAAGGCAAGGCCTCAGTGGGGGCTGCCATTTTGCCTTCAGAGACACCGAGCCACATAAGGGAAAGGGATCACTTGGTGCTGTACATTTCGGAACTGGGAAAGTCTCTAGTCTAACAAAGAGAAGAAGGGGTGACATGATAGCATCTTCCAATATTGGAGGGGCTGTCATAGGGAAGAGGGGGTTGACCTCCAAAGGACGTGAGGGCAGGACAAGAAGTTACCAAGGAAAGAACTAACCTAGAACTAAAGAGAAATTTCCTGACAGTGAGAAGAATTAACCAGTGGGACAGCTTG